AGGACTTAGGATTTGGGTCTTGGGTTTAGGATTTAGGGTTTGGGTTTAGGATTTAGGGTTTAGGGTATATGCTAGCCCCCCCGCCCATGTACCTTCCTATTTTGGCTAAACCCTCTTTGGAAAAATGTCTTTTTGTATATATATATATATCTGTTTTTTCTTTTATCTACGTATGTCTGTATGCAAAAAGCCCGCGCGGTGAATCAGTTTACCCACATAGGTACCAAGATAGGTTATTGAGCTGGGAATCCCAAATTTTAGGGTTCCGGATTTAGGGTTCAGGGTTTCGACTGCCATCAGGGGGGTTCTCAACATCATTGGCCCTTTCTGAGTACGCCTGACCTGTGGGGGCCGCATCGTACTAACCCCCCCAAAGAACGGGCTATGACTTTGATAAACCTGAGCCCAAAACGATCACTGATCTTTTACCAACAGCCCGCAGCATTTCGTGAAAGTTCTACATGGAATATATGGGGATATGTAAGGATGTATAGACACGTATAAGGCTGTTTAGGGCCATGCGGAGCTTAGGGTGTTTCCAATAATCAGTGGCCCTTTCTTGGGCTCCTAAAACCTGAAAAGGGGAAAAGGGCTGAATTTCTTAACCCCCCGCCTATTACGGAACTGATTGCCTTAAACCCTGAACCCTAAACACACTTACGGAAGTAGTTAGCCTAACCCTGAACCCTGAAAACCCGGACGGAAGTAGTCCCCATCCCAAACTACTATTACTACTACTATTACTATTACTATTATTACTTTTACTACTATTAATATATTACTACTATTACTACTAAAGCCCCACAGGAGCAGGTTGCCTCAAGCCTGTTCCAGTGTCCGAGCGCTCAGGCCGATCCTTCCCAAGGACAGGTTCACAAATGAAAGCATGAATAGGGTTTAGGGTTTGGGGTTTAGGGTTTATAACCCCAATAGATTATATACAAACCCTCAGCCCTAAACCCTATATAGTAGTTTCCATTTTAGTTCATTTTCCCTATATAGCCCCCAAGGGTTATATTGTGATTATATCGCCCTTGGGGTGTCATCTTGGGTATCCTAAAGCTGATGGCTCTCGGAGTTTGGGGGGGTATACTGTATTGGGATAATGGAAAAGAAAATGGAAACTATTTTTTGGGTTTAGGGTCCCCTGATGTTTGGGATGCAGATTTGCTGAGGATACGCCGGAGCAATGCGGGTCGAACCCCAGCACGTTCCAGGTGAGGGTTGTCTAAGTAAGGAACCCATCAGAGTGGCCATAGCAAATTACGAGGAGTGTACGGAGACTATTGGCCTCTCCTCTCCGGAGTGTGTTTGCATTGTTTCGAGGAACGGCCTGGTGAGAGTGAAGGTGTCGCAATTGTGTCATGGACTGGAGTCACGCGGACCTATATAACCCCGCCTTTGGGAGCCTAGACTACAGTTCATAGGGAGTAGCAAGGGAGTCAAGGACTACTACTAGGAACGTGAGCGGAGTTGTTTTGAGAAGCTTCCGCGTGATGCGTATGGGGCTCTCTGTAGCGTTCTGGGGGGCTAGGGTTTAGGGTTTCCCAAAATTAGGGCTACCTTTTCAGGAGCCCCAAGAATCAGGATAATCATAGTCCTTAATGGTTCTAGAACGATGTACAAGGCTCATTCATTATCTCCAAGACTGATGCCCAGTGGGCTCTCCTGCATACCATGACCCCTTTTCTTCAGGGTGGCCGCAAACATCGGCCATAGTTATGGACTAGGAGGACCCCCCACCCTGTAACAGTGGTATAATAGGATTATAAGAGGACCCTAATATGATCCCTATTAACCCCTATAGTCACTATTACTGGGTGGGGGGTCCACCTAAGTTATGGACAACCTCCCTTCTATGGCTCTTGAACAAAATTGAATAGGGATTTTTTTGGTGGTTGAACCTAGTAAGATTGTATTCCTTATATCAAATACTATACCCCAAAAGAAGGATAGTAACTTACTCTATACTAGGTACCTTAGTATCCCCAAATAAAGTACTACTCAATTCTTCTTCCTAAAATAGCCATAATGGAAAAGAAATCCCTCGGTATATTTGCATTCGTAGACTTGCAGGAACCCCAAAAATTTTCTCCGAAGGACCTCAGGTCAACCCTCATACCATATATCTTGTTTAGGGTATCGTTCGGGATTTAGGGTTTAGGGGTCAGGGTTTAAGGTTGGTTTATGCTCCGCAGATATTCCGACACCCACCCTGCAGGTCCTGTCCGCCAACAGTCGCCATGGTCACTCCAAACATGAGTCGGCCTGTGCTAACAAGAGGATAGGGTTTAGGGTTTAGGGTATAGGCATAATACTCCAATAGTGGAGAAACAAATGGAAAATGAATTACAGGCGTCGTCTATAGTGCCCCTTAAGTGGACAGGATATGGGGTAGATGGGGATCTAATTATAATCTACCCAACGCCATATTTTATCTACTTAAGGGGGACTATAATGCTTTTTTGAGGAATGAGAGGCTGTTGGCAAACCGAGGCCTCAAAATTAAGACCCTATAGGGATTGGCTTTAGCAAAACACCTTTTCTTTACAAGATACAAGCCCCGATGCAAGCCCTAACTACGCCCAGATTCGTGTCTGTTTGATCCTCCATGAAATGGTCTCAGGTAACCCAGATGAGCCTACTATGCTGTGCCCCACTGCGCTCTGTGGGGGCATGGGGGCCGGTTGTCTAAGCAAGCATGCTTCCAACAAAGGATTTGCGTCCTTGGGTCTTGGGGCTTTGGGTTTTGCCACTTGCATGGCCATGAACGCATGTGCCTCGACCAAGCATGTTACCTTGCCATGCTGTCATGGACGTAGGGTTTAGAGATCAGGGCCTTTGGGATTTAGGGATTTGTGTTCGGGGCTTAGGTAGGGTTCAGGGATTGGGGCTGTGAAGCCAGAACACCTGGCATACTTTAGGAAACAGTTTCACCAACTTGGCGAATGGGAAGCAAACACTGGGTTGCTATTGAGGAACTTCAACTAAGTTACTCATGTAAGGAGACCATGCTATTCACAACATGTCCGGAATCTGGTGACTTAACTTTAAGCTTCTTAACGGCATCCCAGAAAGAGCCAGGGTCCCGGCAAATAGCTATCCCGAGCCTATTCCTTACTTCCCCATACAAGCCCCCTTGTGTATTTAAGGCGAATTAAGGCTGAGGGGTAAATAGTTATAATAAAGGCGCCCATGAGCCCATGGTTCCGGGTGCCTACAGGAGAGTTAGGAAGTGGAATCCTACAATCATGCGGTTCTTGCATGTCAGTTTACTGCAGTAATCTCTATGCTATCCCATCTAATCCTAATCCCCCCATAATGGTCCCTGAACCAGCAACTGCGAAACAGCAGCGGCATCCATGAGGTGACGCTTTCTGCAGTAATAAGAAGCTCAAGGATCTTACTGGGTGAGAACCTGGGATTTGACCTTGCTAGCCCTAAACCCGAAAAGCTCTCCATAAAACATGTGTTTCCATCTCAGTTCCATCGCTTATCATTTGCTTGTTCAGCATTGGCTATACCTTGGCTCTGTCCCTCCCTAAGCACTGAACCCTAAAAACCTCTACTATACCTCTCTGAGTGAACCCTAAACCCTAAACTCTAAGCCAGGTCCCTCCATAAACCCTAAAACCTAAAGCCTCTATACCTCTTTGGGTGAAATCCTAAACTCTATCTAAGCCAGCAAGTATTCAAAGCCACAAGCCCTAAACCCTCAACTCAAAGCCATAAACCCCAAAGGCTTGAGGATTTAGGGTTAAGCCCTAAACTCCAAATCGAAAACTTAAACCTTAAACTCAGTTCAAGAAGCCCATCTCATCTTCGGCCGTCATGGGCGGAGGTCTTGGGCGCGGCTCAGGCTCTGGAAAATAGAACCTCATGTTTTTCGTTCCCCTTAAGTAGATAGAATACACGGTTTAGGGATTAAAGTTTAGGGGGTTTAGGGATCAGATTTTAAGGTTTATAGTCCCCATTAAGTATATAGAATGTGGGGTATATGCGGATCTTGTTATAACATACCCAAAGCCATATTCTATCCACTTAAGAGGGACTATAATAGGATTTCGGCGGCAGTGGGGCAGTGGTCAGAGGAATTTTCACGTGTGGAAGTACCAAGGGGGTCCTGGAAATTCCCCAAATGGTGGTTTCCAGCAAGAATAGCGCAGGGTCTCAGTACGTCTTTGTGAGGTTTGAACTGTTGTCCCGGAAGTGTCTGGCATTGACAACTGGTAATTTTGAAGAGCTAACATCACGAAAACATCATATCATGCCATCAACCTCACATCCTATCCCAGACCGCATGAAAAGCGCAGAGCAACATTATCAGCCCAACCCCATGTTTAAGCAACACCCCTAAATAGTAGTTTCCATTTTCTGTTCCAGTATTACTATATAATCTCCATGTAAAACCTATATAACCCATGTATATATATATAACCCTATGATTACTTCACCAGTCCTGCGCTGGCACGGCCCTTTTCCAAATGCAAGACATGCTCTGTTCGCCGCATTCCCTTCGACGCGAACCGTCTGGGCATACCACTGGCCATGCCTTGCACGCCCAGAGGTGCAGGGAGGAGACATACCCCAAGGTGTAGGGTTTTGGGTCCTTCAACAAGGCCAATGCCTTAAATGGTGCTAGGTTCCTTGCATATCCCTGAACAAAGAGGGGGGGTGGCCCCCTGGATAACCGAGGGGCTAAGGGCTCAGAATAATGTAGGGACTTTCAATGCACCTTGGATACGTTGTCTTGGAGAACAGGCATGCGGGTGGTTGTCAAAATCATGGTCCCTTGTTGGATCCCTACTATGATACTGCACCTAATATTTAGGTTACCCAAAAAGGGATCATAGTTTTGACAACCACCCATGTGCAAAAAGAGCCTCCTTGTTCACATCCGTATCATCTCCTCATACCAAGGTTAAAAGTCCGTATGCTGGAGCCTTGGTTGAATCAAACTTAGGTTATGTCTTCTTACAATATGAGATACCTTAGGAAGACCCCCCACCCTGTGATAGTGGTGTAGTAAGAATATGTAAGAGGACCCTCATGTAATCCTTATTATGCGTTGTAGTCACTATTACTGGGTGGGGGATCCACCTAAGAGATACCCAGACAAGGGATTTAGTCTTGACTCTACATGGAAGTCGATAACATCCCCATGATACAGCCAATCCCTCCCCTCAATATTGACCCTCCTTCCAAATAAAATCAAATTTCCAAGTATGGTGGTTTCCCAAAATTAGGGGTACCATTTTGGGGGGTCTATAAAAAGGATTGCAGTATTTGGGGGTCTATATTGGGGTCCCCCGCTTTACAGAAACTGCCATGTAGCTTCACATTTGGCATAGGCATGATTACTGGGGTGGGGGGCTTCGTTGTTAGGGATTAACGGGTCATTCACGTGTAGAACCTAACCCCAGCAGAGGCAAGTGCGGATCGTCGCTGAGCCAACAACGAGGAAACCGACTGCCTGGTCATGTTTAGGGTATAGGCATAGGGGTTTAGGGGTTTAGGGTTGGCATAGGGATTATTGGGCAACTATGGAACATGATGGCTTCATAATCCTGCTTGGTCTTTAGCACAGCATCGGTTAAGCTGTTACTTGGCTCCTTGCTGGAAGCTATCGGATATCATAGCTTCATGTTCCTTATTGGGGTTTAGCATAATGGGCTCCTAAACCCCAACCCCTAGACAAGCTGTTAAACATGATAGGTTCCGGCCTGAGCACAAGCACAACTTGCATGATAGAACATGGCGCAGCAGAAGTTGACTCCCTGGCAAACTGAACAGGATAGGCTCAGTAGCATGTTTATGTTAGACCTTTAGGGTTTAGGGCTTATGGTTTGGCCATGTAGCACACCCTCGTTTTTCCCTACTTGGTGTCGCACTCACAAACTGAACAAGAAGCCTGATTTCTGATGCCTACCTGGTCGTCAGACAGGCAGCTAGCAGGTCGTCTTTGCTTCCAAGCCTACATCCTAAAGTTACTGTTTCTTGGTAGGGTATATGGGAATGTAGTATGTAGGGGTATAAAGGGATCATATTACCTCCTTCCCTTCTCAGCACCAGTAAGCAAACCCTAAATCCTCAATGAAACCCTAGCCTAGCCAGTTTCGCCCTCTTCTTCGCGTGTGCAATCTACAGCATTGATGCCTGCGCACCCCTAACTCCCAGCCCTAAAAGATCTGCAGTGTTCATTTCACGTTCTATATCGTGTTGTTGATGTGATGTTCCACAGCTCCAGCTTAACAATCCCAAGCCTAGCCAGATGGGCCCCGAGACCCTAAACCTCAAGACGCTAAATCCTTAAGAACCTAAACCCTCGAACCTCAAACCCTAAACCCTAAACTCTTAAACCCCTAAACCCTACTCCCTAAAACACTAAACCCCTAGATCCTAAAGATTCCTATATAACCCTATAAAACCCTGTCCAAGCCTCGGCGGCAGCCTTAGTCGACGCCAGGTTGTCGAGATCTGAGCACCGTGAGGTACAGCGTAGAACCAGGCAATGACGCGGTTTAGGGTTTAGGGCAAACACCCCCCAAGTCTGGAGCAAAATATAGGGATTTAGGGTTTAAAGGTTTGGGGTTTAAGGGTTTAAGGGCTTTGGGTTTAAGGGTCAAGGGCTTACGTAGGGTTCAGGAAGTTCCCATAAATCGGGGCCCCCGATCCTATTATGGGGACTTTGCAAAGCTCCCGCTAATTTTTGGGAAGCCCAACAAGATTCCTACGGATCGTAAGGAGGCCTTCATATGAGCCCTAACCGAAACTCCTTCAAGGGTGGCTACATACGGATTATATAACGGACTACTGGGGATATCAGGGGGATACAGAGTTTAGACTTAGACTATAGCTCATATGTTGAGGCTCATCCCCTGCTGAACTCATCAGCTTCACACTATGCGCAGGCCAGCTTCAATATGAGTGGTTGTCAAAATGATGCTCCCTTTTGGGATCCCTATTACAATACGGCACCTATTTTTTCAGGTACCCAAAACGGGATCATAATTTTGACAACCACCCAAATGAGGAATGTTGGCTTCGGACGAAAAAATGGGGCCGTGTTAGGGTGAGCTTTTTGGCTGAACATCAAATGGGTATGAAATTGAGCGAACTTTTAGGCAAAATTGTGAGGCGGAATTGATCCGACAGAGCCCGAGCCCCCACACCCAACAAGTTTGAGGTTATATTGGGATAATGGAGAAGAAAATGGAAACTACTATATAGTATATTGGGGTTATATTAGGATAATGGAAAAGAAAATGGAATCTACTATTCCTTTACTTGCCATGAGGGGGGCTTATTGATCAGAACCCGACATTACCAGGCTTACCTCATGACAAGTAGGAGCTTCATACCGTAAGATTTCAGACATGTTGAATCGAGCTTCCACGGAGATTCGTCTCAACCCTAAGCCCTCAATACTAAACAGCGCCCTGAGGCCCGAACCAGAGCCATCACCGATCCTTACTGGAGTGCGCTGCCCTTCCCTTAAGTCTATCCCATTTGTGTTTTTGTGTATCGAGGTGGGATGCTCGTCGGAGGCCCTAGGAATATGCAGGGGTGATAAGAGCATGATGGGAGAGTCCGGCTGAAGATTGTACATGGGACAATTGCCCGCCAAAGCATGTTGGTCCTAAGGTTCCAAGATACGATGCTAGACTGGGTAGAGTTGCTAGAACAAAGAAACGCCAATATCTACAATAGACCACAAATCTCGTAACGTAAACCCTAAACCCTACATCCAATATAGCCGTAATATTCTGACTTAAGCCCTGAACCATGAATCCCATATACACACATTATGGTAACTTGGCTTAGGTCCTCTAAAAGCAACCCAATGGTGGCATCCTTTCCGGACCTCGAAACTCGCAACTTGCAAACTTAGCTTTGCGCAAAACCCAGGGGTTTAGGGTTTTAGGGTTTAGGATTTTAGGGTTTAGGGGTTTAGGGTTTTAGGGTTTAGGGTTTGGGGGTTTAGGGTCTAGATGAAGCATCTTCATGCGAACTCCTTAGCTCTATGGAAGTTCTTGCAACCCAGGAGCACCAAAGTAGCAGTGCCTCCAGGGACGAGGTTACGCCACACTGCTTGAAGCCACTCCTCCTGTTGCCTGGCCCAATAAGTTGAGAATTTCATATCTTGACACGGATTCGGTTTCGTAGGCGGGAGCTACAGTCCCCCTTAAGTGGATAGAATATGGAATTGACCCATATCATAATACAAACCCCATATAGGCCATATTCTATCTACTTAAGGGGGACTATAAGCAGCTGCAGCTTTGAGCAGTTGCCACATCTAATGTACGCACCTCTCTCTGTAAGGCAGCTCACAGAAACACTGCGTGGAACCCTGCAAGCAATGCCATTGTATATATAAGGCTTCTAGGGGATAATGGAAAAGAAAATGGAAACTACAGGAATTATAGGGATTATATAGGGATCATATAGGGATGATATTTGGTGCAAAGAATTAAGACTTCATCCAGTAGATGTCAGCTTCAAGAGATGTTCTGTACTGCCGAACCCTAAGCCCTGAATTGCCTGTACCGGTGAGTTGGGGAATAGAGCGGACTGCAGACGTCCACCCTGAAATAGTGCGCCAGATCCATCCGTGCAGATGGCTCTAAATACGACCCACATAAAACCTTCCAAAGATGCGAAGCTCTCTTATATACTCCCACTACTCCAGCCATTATTGGAAGTTATGGAGATCCACAACCCTACCCCTAAAGTGTGGAAAATCCCAACTGACTGCCAGAAAGCATTGTCATCCGTGGGACCCTAAACCCTACTCCTGCAAACCCAGGTAAATCCAAATTGTAGGGTTTGAGGTTTAAGGCTCAGATTTTCAGCAAAAATCCGCACAACATTCGCGCAAAACTCTCGACCTGAACGTCATACAATTTGTATAAGCCCTATAAACCCTAAGCCCCAAACGGTGTGTATAAACCCCATGTTGAATCCTTTCCTTCATCTTGCTGCTAGCAAAGCCGCTTTTGCCAGGTTTCTCTGAACTCGTCTGCCGGGATGCTCCTGGGCTGCATCTGGGCCCGTTGATTTTGTTGATTTACTGGTAGACTGTCCAGGAACTTAATTCAAGTTCCCATAATGGGTATACATATAGATATATAGTATTCAATAGAATTTTCCCCATCTAGTAACTTGAATTAAGTTCCTTGACAGCAGCTCAGTTTAGGAAGCTCGTGCTGAGCACGGATCCTTCCTTTAGGGGGGTTTCGGGATTAGGGATTTAGGGTTGCAAAGACTGTTCGGATGGGAAAGATGGAAACGCGAAAACGCTAGCGTGGCCTGTATTGCGGGTGTGGTGTTACCCTGAACAATAGACCCTAAACCCTACAAAGCTCAAATCCCTCAAGCCTACACCTTGCTCAGCTGTCTTGTGGCCATAGTCTCCCTTAAACAGATAGAATATGGCGTTGGGTATATTATAGGAAGGTCCCCATATACCCCATGTTCTATCTACTTAAGGGGGACTATGACCCTCCATAGAGCTTCGACCTCCCAAGCTTCTCCCGCTGCGCAAGGCTGCCAATCTCGTTGCTGGTCAACCTCCCACAACCCTCGCTCTAAACCCTAAACCCTCCCACCCCGCTGAGAGGGGTGTTATATATATATGCATACACATAGAGGAATGGAAAAAGAAAACGGAAACGACTATATGCTTGAGGGATTAGGGTTCATGAAAAAGCTGCCCAACCCCCTTCAGACACCCCCTCTCCAAAACACTACCATTATACAAAAAGGGGGATATTCATTACCAGCAAGTATGAGGGGCTAGTATGGAGGGAAAGGGATTACAAACGACATGGAGGCTTACAAAGAATGAGTGTTTTCAAGCGTATCAATATTAACAGAAAGAAACTATAGTATACTGGAGGTATATGTTGGGGGGACCCCCCCATGTATGAAACCCCCTAAACCCTAAACCCTAAAGTCCCAAGCCCTAAACCTTAAAGGCCTACGTTTGCTAAGCCCTAAATCCTAAATCCGAAGCCCTAAACCCTAAACTCTAGCCCTTATGAACCCTACACCACACCTGATTGAGCGCTCGTGTTTGAGGATCTGGCCCGAGCTCGAAAGACTGCTAGTAGGGGGTTAAGGGTTTAGGGGATAAGGGTTTCAGGGGTTTAGGGTTTTGTATTTTAGGGGTTGAGAGTTTCGTTTTGTTTTTCAGGGTTTCGGGGTTAGGGATAAGGGTTTTCGTCAAGGGGAGTGGAAGTCAAAGATGGTCATTGCGGAAACGAGCCATACAACATCAAAACATGCCCAGGGATGGCACCAACACAGCAGACGAGTCTCAAAGTTTAGGGGCTTAGGATTGTCATACAAGTTCCCTTTCATAATCCTTATATTCCCACTCCCCCCCCCTATACACACAAGAAACCCGACCTACACCCAGCAGATGCCACTCTTCCCCCATTCACGCCCCGATAAGCACCAGTAATAACCCTTAACCGCTAAACCCCTCAACCCCAAACCCCTGAACCCTCAACCCTAAACCACCTAACCCCTAAACCCCTAAACCCTAAGCCCCTCAACCCTAAACCCTGCGCCACTAAACCCCTCAACTCTGAACCCTAAACCTCCCAACCCCCTCAACCCTAAACCCCTAAACCGCTCAACCCTAAATCCTTCAAACAAAAACCCTGAACCCTAAAAACTAAACCCCTGAACCCCTAGAATCCTCAACCCTAAACCCCTGAAACCTAAACCCCTAGAACCCTTAGCCTAAACCTTTCAACACTAAACCCCAAAACTGTTATGAAACCTGAAACCCTAAGCCCTAAACCCTAACCCCTAAACCCTAAGCCCTAAACCCTAAGCCCTAAACCCTTTTTATGAACTTGGCCTGGCGGGATCCTCGGCCTCACCGAAGAATTGCGACAGCTCCAAGGAGGCGCCCAAGGCTCCGGCCAGTCGGCTTTGGGTCAGCAAGGCAGCCTAGCCAGGGCTTAGGGGTTTAAGGGCTTAGGGGTTTAGGGGCTTAGGGGGTTTAGGGGTTTGGGGTGTAGGGGTTTGGGGCTTACGGGTTTAGGGCTTAGGGGTTTAGGGGTTTTGGGCTTAGGGGTTTAGGAGGGTTTGGAGTCTAGGGTTCAAGAAGTTTAGGGGTTAAGGGTTCGCACTGAAAGCATGTTTACTGGACCCCTGGAACGTCCATCGTACAGCTGCTGGACTTTAGGGTTTGGGGCTTAGGGAGAAGAAAATGGAAACAGGTTGGATAAGGGGTACGAAGACCTTTTCCCTCCCCCTTCTACTAAACCCATCCGCACCTGATGTTAAATATTCCCCGTATATTAGAATATGCCACACATTTCTTCTAATATTGGGGAGTTAATATTCAGGTGAGGGATTAGAACCTCAAGATTCAGGGGAGGGGATTAGAACCTCAAGAATCCAAGAGCCTAGATAGCATATAGTGGGGAACGAAACCCCATTATTTAGAACTAAGACTTAAGGGCAACGCAAAAATCAACGTTTTGGAGTTGTGGACTGTACCTACTGAGTATGGGGTCCTTACTGCTGAGCCCTAAACCCTAAACGAACTTGAGGTAGTTGGGGTTACAGGGAAAGCTCGAAGAAACATGTTTAGGAATCAGGGATTTAGGGTTTAAGGGTTTAGGGATTTAGAGTCTAGGGGTTTAGGGATTTAGGGTTTAGGGATTTAGGGTTTAAGGATTTAGGGATTGCGGGTTTAGATTCGGCCCGAAGTACCTACGTAGGAGGGCAGGCCTCTACATATATATGTATACACACATATATACATAAATATATTTATTTATTTTTTTTATTCATTTATATGTATTATAGTTAGGTGCTTGGACCCCCTGGGACAAGGTACTTGTTCAGAAAAGTCCCCAACTTGGCCGCCAGGTAGGTTGCCTTTTTGGTTAGGATCTCCTTCTAGGGAGGTGTGTTCCCAACGGTTGCTCCTTTACAAGGACCTTTAGAACAACCCTCACCTAGGTTCCCCAGTAACCCATTATTGACAAGGGTACCCTTTTTCCAACTGTTCAGCTTTGATAAGGAGACCCCAAAATAAAAAGGGCAAAAGGGGACTACTGGGGTACCTGGCCACAAGAATCAAGAGCATCTTGCTTCTGCAACTGCGGAGTGACGACTGATCTTCTGGAAGCGCCAGCTTTGGAAAACAGAAATGCCATACCAACAAGGAGGGTTTGATCTTGCTCTTAGGGGGGGTTCCCAATTTCGGGGTACCCTTTTTGGGGGTTCCTTATAACAAGGATTATCGTATTTGAGGGTCTATGATGGAGTCCACCTATTTCAGGAAACGACCATATTGGGGACCACAGGAACCCCAAATAGAATTGCTGGGAAGCTGCGTTCCAGGAGGTACAAACCCTTTTGAGTAGATCGATTCCCCTGATGAGGCACCCCCTTAATAATAACCCTTCCCCCCCATTACATTTATATGTGTAGGTGAATGTTATATTCATTTCTACGGAGTGGGGGTTCATCATCGTTAGGGGGAAGTGTTTATAGGAAGATATAAGTGCAGCGAAGCGGCATTGGCATAGTTGTAGACGCCCGGGTACGGAGGGCTGGTGATCACCGCATCTACCTGAAATTCGTCCCCTTAGACCTTGAAGCAAAAAATGAGCACTTTCAACAGTTACTTTGGTTGTGACTACAATACAAACGGAAAAATTCTAAGCGGATAGGAGCTACCGGTTGGCTCAGCTTCAGCAATCTGGCATCCCCAAGACCCGTGCGGACCAAGCACTCCGGAAAGGGCATGGAGGCGCGGAGGGCTGCAAGCTGGGCTGCGTAGAGCTGCACGGTGCCAACGAACATCGGCCCAGCCAGTTCTTGTGGCGGATCTTCCGAGCTTTGCGAGACCACAAAACTTTTGGATCCAGACAGGGCGTATGCTGCATCTCCATCACCTGCGCGCTGCAGAGCGACGAGGAGGCAAAACCAAAGCGCAGATGTCACCGATCCCTCAGGCAGGGCTCCCAAACGGCTCCGCAAGTCATTCCAGCCTAGCTCAAGCTCGTTTGCTGGAGCGACAACATCTGCTTGGGCGCGTAACTCGTCCAAAGAGACGCCTTCAACGTCAGTGTGGTGGCGCGCCACGAAAGCGGCCAGCGGTGATGCATCTGACCCCGTAGCCGCCCTCCCGGCGCGAGCGGCCTCTATCAGAACTGTACCAGATCCGCAGAAGGGGTCGAGGATGGAGGATGCTGAGGGGTTCAGCCTCAACAACTGCCGTGCCGTCAGCGCCTGGATGATGGGAGGCAGTCATCAGTCCGAAGCTCAGTACGTTCCAACAACAAATTGCACCAACAACCAGATTGCATCCTCTAGGTTGGATTATACTATACTATAGTATAATATGATATACAACAAAATGATACATTATCGTATATTATAGTACAATATACAATGACCCTAAGCCCTAAGCCCTAAACCGCCGACCATGTTGAGACAAAGTGGAAAGGATCATGCTGCTCAGGACAATCTCACCAGCCATAGCACACAGCTGGGAGTCTCCTCAAATAGGTTATATAGGGTTATATGAGTTATATGGGGCCATAGCGGTTATATAGGGGTCATATAGGGTTATATAGGGGTTGTATCGTTGCCTGCATGGAGGCGACATACTTGAAGAAGCCATGGGTGAGCTGTTCCTGCGCACACCATATCAGGTTTACTGTTACTGTACGTAAACTGGATGCTATTCTTGCCGAAGCATGAAAACCAAACAATTCCCCAAAATACGTCCATGGTTCAGATCTCTCTGATACGCTAGTTTCCATATTTGGGGGGGGGGGGGACGACTCTAAATCCTAAAGGGGCTGAAATATAGACCCCAAACTGCGCGTTGCACCCGAGGTCTCCGAATTATATGTTGGATTTCTCAAAATTAGGTGTACCTTTTCGCGGGCCCCTAGAACAAGGATTATAGTATTTGGGCGTCTATTTTGGAGTCTCCCCAATGTAGGGAATTCACCATAGAACCCATGATGTAGGCAGTTAGCGCTTGAAAAGGCAAAGCTTGGTGCCAAGACTCTGCAGAAAGGCCGATTTACATGTAGGGTTTACGGTTTAGGGCCTAAACCCTAAACCCAAAGATGTCACTGCTTGCACTTTGGCACATGGCGCCTGCTGTCAATGGCGTCCACTGCAAATTTAGTGATGATGACAGCCTACGTACACCCTGCACCCTAAACTCTAGATCCCGAACTCTGAATCCTAAAGTCCAAAAGCCTAAACCCTGAATCCTAAACCCAATAAATCCTAAAACCTAACTCTGAATCCTAGACGCTGAACCCTAGCCCCAAAGCCTCTAAAACACCCGGCAGGCCTCGCCGTCAGGTACACCCGGATAGCCATAGAGCCACCTGAAAGAATCAGAACTGTAAACCCTAAACCGGCCTAAGAGATATGAGGGGTAAGGTATCAGGATGTTGTATTTTTAGGTTTAGCATTCAGAGTTCCCAGCTGGAAACTCATTCCCACTGGCTACCCTAAACCCTAAACCTACACCGCGTGAAGCATTGACGGTAAGTCATTCTAAGCTGGGAAGATAATGGGGGGCGCGAGAACCTCTGTCTACTTTCCACATTTCCTTTGTAGCCCCAATACTGCCAAAAGCTCGGGCAGGGGTGAGATCCTGGAACGGGGTACACTTGATACACTGCAGACATTGGTCTATGTTTTGTGGAAGTTAGGGGGTTCTGAAACTTGGGGCTTAGGTTTAACAAGTGCAAAGGAAAATACCTTAACCACTTTCTGTTTCACTTTCCATGTCCGTTTCCACGTGATCTTTTGTTTATAGCTATAGTTCAGCTACAGTACTCTGTATAAAGGGGTTCCACTTTGCTCATGAAGATCATGGTATAAGGGCTCCTGTGTCTTGGGTTTAGGGTTCATGGTTTAGGCTGAGGGTTTAGGGAGCCCAGGTTTCGACCTTTCACAGAGCGCTGTTGAAAGGCAACCTCGCAAGAAGTTCTGTTGCCTGCTGCAGCCCGGACTTTACTTACCGGGGGTTAAGTCGGAAATGAGTGAATACACTATTTCAATGTGTTAAATAGGGGCAACACATGGATCATGTTCCCTTCTTCCCCTCTTCCCCTATTCCCTACCAACCACCAATAAGCTGCATCATGTGTTAGAGGGGGCTAGCTACTTCGGTTCCAGCGCGGCAAGCAGCTGACAGCGGCTTCTTGCCCGGAAACCCCTACACCTTCTTGGTACAAAACCCAGGCCTCTATGACCCCTTCCTTGGATGCTTGGGGGGGACTTAGTATAGGTTATGACTGGGGGTTTATTTGGGTTTAAGGGTTACAAGTATACTAAATCCCCCTGACCCTCCAGGTATGCTTTCTGTCATAACCTGCAAGGGTGACTTTGAGCAAGCCTAGGTAGTAGTTGCCAGTTAGAACTGCAGGCCTGTGAAAAGACAGGCAATCAATTTCTGTCTAAACTGCTAGTATCCCCCTTAATAACCCCTATAATGCTCCCCTATATAATCCCCTCACCCTAAACCCTAAACCTTAAACCCTAAACCTTTAACCCTAATCCCTAAACCCTAAACCGCAGTAATTCGATTTAAGGAGTTTGGACTATAGCTCAACTGGTCTGGCCCCAGCGGCTGGTAGCGAAGCGCATCAGCCAACAGGTCTGTAACTTCTGAAGGTCCCTCAGCGCGATGGTCAACCCAGGAACTAGTCCCTAAACCCTAAACCTGGGGTTTAGGGTTTCGGGTTTAGGGTTTGGAGATGGGGGACCCTCAAGAAGGAACACGGGCAGCCCGTTTTACAGAGTTGGGCCAGTCTTGGTAGCAAGTCCTACCCAGAGCCCTAAACACTTCAACATAAGCCCTATATGATACTACGATCCTTATGATGATTTAAGGCATTGTCCTTGATCAAAGGTCATGAGACTTCCCGGGAGCGGGCCCAAGATGCAGAAGTTTGCAAGGTTGCCAGATGCTAGCAAACAGCAGTTCCCATCATGTAGAAGCCGAAAGAATTTGATAGTTGTTTTAAGTTTACTTGAAGTACCGCATGCTATACTTAATCAAGTAGCTAGGATGTAAGTATCTTGATACACCTCCCCATCCCAATGTCAGTCTCCGTTTTACTTTGCATTTTGTATTCTCCGCTATTACCATAATCAAAACCCTAGACTCTAAATGGTAATTCCCCAGGCTCCTACATGAGTTGTTCGCAAAATTATGGGCTCCTTTTGGCTATAGATCGTATTACGGAACCTAATATTTAGGGGCACCAAAACAGGACCTTAATTTTGTGGACAACCCTTAACCCTAACCCCGTTTATCCCCTATATGATCCCCTATACGATCCCCAAGGTTCCTTTACCCCCTAAACCCTAAACCCTAAATGAACCCTAAACCCTAAATGGGACCCTAGTTGTGAGAACTACCTACATTACATCTGAGGCCTTCATCATAGCATCCCTCCCTCTCTTGCCATGGCCAAAAAATTCTCTAAAGGATGGCCTGGCAGTCGTGGGCACATGAATATAAGACCTTGCCGTCTGCTTACTTGTGGTCTTCAAAACCCACTACTACGTAAGGAGGACCCCCCCCCCCGCCCTGTAATAGTGGTGTGATAGGAATATAGTAGGACCCTAAAGCATGGCCACTATTACGGGGTGGGAGGTCCACCTAACCGACAACGCCATCCACTGATTTATCCTCGGCCACACCCTCCACAGCTCACCCACGGCAAAACCTTACATACTCCCAGTTTCTATTTCAACCTCCATTTGATTCTCCACTATTCTATCCCACGCTCCCCTACATCCTTACATAGCACCCTAAACCACCCTAAACCCTAAGCCCTAAACCCTGAACCTAAACCCTAAATCCTAAACCCTATCCTACCCCTAAATCCTAAATCCTAAACCCTAAACCCTAAGCCCTAAACCCTATCCTACACCCTAAATCCTAAACCCTAAACCCTTGAACCTAAAACCGAAGCCCTAAATCCTAAACCTAAACCCTTAACTTTTAGAGGGTTTAGACCCTAAAACCTGAGCCCTAAATCCTAAATCCTAAACCCACGGTCCATCCACCGTCACTTCCAGGAAGGCTGCTTCCTCTGGGTCCGGACGGCAAAAACGCTGCTGCCAGGGCTGCAACGCAAGGACCTCTTATGGGATAACAACAGGTGAGTTTAGGGTTTAGGGGTTTGAGGGTTTAGGGCTTTAGGGGTTTGAGGGTTTAGGGGTTTAAGGGCTTCAGGGTTTAGGTTTAGGGTTTTCAAAGCAAGTGGTTTTAGGAATTATAGGGCGCCTAGGTCTATGAATCATACCTAGAGCGGGCTCTAGAGTCTATGACGGCTACCTACTGTGGGACTGTGGGCTACTTGGCTCTCCAGGGAAAACCAAATCCTACTGCAAATTATGTGGGAATCGAGTCGCCCCAAGGAAAGGGTCTGCGAAGCTCAGAGGTATTGGAAAATGACACGCCTGTTGCCAGGTTGCCCAGTTCAGTAGAATTCTTCTATTGCCAGTACCACATTTTCGCCAGAATGGCAGGTCAAACATGAAGCCGTGGCCGTAGCCGACTTACATTTCAGAGTGGCTAACGCGCAAATGGATGTAAGAGCCGTTCCAAACCTCAAAAAATAATTCCTTTCGGGTTTAGGGCTGAGGGTGGGTCACCAAGAGTTGGATGAAGCGAGGCACACAAAGAAGGGATCCCTAAAGTCGTCCGCATATCATCCCTCTAAGAATCCCTATAACTCATTTCCCCCCCTTCTTACCCAATAGAACCCCTCATAGAAGTTCCTATAACCTACTCCCCCCTTCCTGACCCCATGTAATCGCCTGCAGCGGACCATGTAACCCATTTCCCTTCTCTGTACGCCCTTTTGCTGCGAACTTGGCCGTCCGCCTAATCTATAAAACCGGCACACCCTAAACCATACGCAATGCCCGCGCGATCCCTGCAGATCCAGCCTGCGCCCATTGTCCACCTGGGCCAGGTATGGGGGCTTCCAAGAAATTCGCTGGTGCCTTCAGGGTTTATAGAGTTTAGAGCTTAGGGTTTAGGGCTCATAGTGGGTTCATAGGCATTTACCGGGTTTAGGGCCTCCACAAAAATAAGGGCCTGTTTAGGGGAGGGCTATCTATGATAAAGAATAGCATCCCCTGGGATATATATATATACAAAGAAGGATCCTGATTCGGGGTATATTTACTCGTGGTTAGTAGGGAACTCTTGGAAATGTGGGAATCTATTCTATAGGGATTAGATATGGATTATATTCCCTCATTCCCTACTAACAACCAAGAAGTATAAAGAGGGATCCTGATTACTAAAACGCTCATACTGTACTTTCTTGATGTAATCAGCTGTGACAATGTCATGGCTTGAACAGAGGTCTTGCGCCCTCTTGCTGGCTAGCTCCCATCTTGCGAGCAACCGTCAGACTTAAGTTCAAGTTAAAGGCCCTGGCAAATGTGCATCTCTACGCAGGCCCTTCCGACAGTGTTTACAGAATGCCCAGGAGGAAAACCTGGCTACGAAGGAGGAACCGTTGAGGTCAGACTGAGCATTTGAAGGGCGAAGCCTGCAGGTCATCTTACCCATGGAAGTATGTCAAATCTTTTTCTCATTTGAGGGCGGATGCTTGTTATTCAGAGGCTCCAACGCCATCTGTGGATTAGATGGCGACACCCTCTTGCAGAAATATGCGGCGGGCTCACAAAACTACAGTCCTTTCTAGGGCACATGATGAAAAAGGCCCCTTAACATTTAGGGTTTAGACCCTCCACCCTCAACCCTAATATTTGGTAGTTCCCCCAAATAAGGGGACCCAATATAGGGCCCCAAATACTATAATTCCTTCTTCTCGGGATCCACACAAAGGTGCCCCTACTTTTGGCAAACCCCCATTTAGGGAACCCAAGAAAACCCATGGAAGAAATCCAAGTGGCCCCTCTCACAGGCGCGGAGAGCTGCATCAACAGCACCTACTTGGAGGGTCAGGGGGGCGCAGTAAATGGGTTAATAATGGGGATAACTAGGGTTACTATATGGTTGATAGGGGTTTTAAACCTACTTACTAAGTCTTCTTGACCCTCCAAGTAGTTATGGGATTCTATACTCCACGCCCTGTACTCCCCTTTCCCAAAACAAAAACCAACCAAGGAAAGCCTAAGTAGGACTTGCTTGAAGCCTATTAGGCCTTCTTTGGGGAGCAGGGGTAGGGGTGGGTGTAGAGGGGATTTGCGGACATCGGCCCTCCAAAGCCAGGAACCAAGCATAAATTGTCATGAGTTTGCTACTATGGTTTAGGGTTATTCCGCCCTATGCCTTAATTAGCCTCATTATCCTTAAGCACCCCTGACTAAGTGGAACCTACGGGGGTAGTGGGGGAACCCATGAATAAATAATCCCTATATACCCATGAGTATTACTCCTACAGACCAATATATATATATATTCCCTATATACCCCTATATAATCCTTATCTACCCCTATAACCCCAAGTAGGGGAACCCCGCAATAAATTGCGAAAGGCAAGTCCCCTTGGCTGCAACCTGGCTTAGGCAGCTTGGCGTATTTCCGTTTCAAGAAGCATCCAGTTAGTCCCCCCGTAGGTGGATAGAATATTGTGTATGTTGTGATTTTCTGCATTTGGGGTATCCCAAAAGGAACCATAGATGATAAGTACGCGACCTAGAACATCATCAGTCTGCATGAGTTCTGCCTACAGGCTTTTGATGGTCGACTTCGACACTTTGTTGGGCCGCAGAGAATAAACATCAGTATTTGTGGACATCTGCTGGGACTTCCAAGGAATGGCCAACAAGATAGAAGCAAGTGGCGCTCCCTGACTACCCAACAACACCCTTAGGGTCCATGTAGGGAGTTCATGTACAGGACCCGCAAGAAGGGATCTTCATTTCTTGGGGATCTCTCTGCCCTGAAGTTTAGGGTTTTGGGTTTAGGGCCCTATAAGCCCTAAACCCATACACTCTATGTGCATGGACCCTTTGGTACTGTACAGGCCCTGTATCGTCCTGCTGCAATCACTCCGCGTGACACTCGGTTTCCGCCTGCCTTTAAAAGAGGGATATAGGGGCTATATGGGGATATATGGGGCTAAGGGTTTATAACCTTACTCATGTAAACTCCCCCTCTAGAAGTACTTGCTGAAGCACCTCGCTCTACGCCGATGCTTCGTGCCACCGCGTGGTCCAGCAGGTGCACCGCAGCAAGCCACTGGGCCTTCGCAGAAGATAAGCGGTTTAGGATTTCCGGTTTAAGTTTTAAGGCTTAAGGTGGTTCAGAGCTTAGGCGGTTTAGGATTTACGGTTTAAGTTTTGAAGCTTAGGGTGAGTCAGCGTTTAGGGTTTAGGGTTTAGGATTTACGGTTTATAAGCCTTAAGGTGGTTCAGAGTTTAGGGTTAAGGACTTAGAGTTTAAGGTTTAGGGCTTAAGGCGGCTCAGGACTTGTTTCTCAAGATAGGGGTACCCAGGCTTTTCAGTGTGGCTCTTCAGGGGACAGCCATCACCCCAAAAAAGGTCCCTATAACTATAACTTATAGGGTCCTAAATCCTAAGTTTTCAGGTTGGGGTAACTCATGTAGACCACTGATTAATAAACACCCTCCTTTTCAAGGCCTTAATATTCGGATCCCGATTACAATCCCTATTTAGGGGAGGGGGTTTATTAATCAGGGGTCTTCATTATCCCTTTGTGATCAACGTGGCTCTTCATGCTACCGCTAAGACCAGTAACCTCCCGAGCCCGACATTTGGCATTTCACTCGACAAACCGGGCTGCTGTTAAAGAACTTAATTCAAGGTACTATACTGGGGAAACCTTATTAATTACTATATATACCCATTATGGTAACTTAACTTAAGTTCCTTAACAACAACCCAGTCACTCGACAAACTCTGGTGGAGTTGCTCAGCAACATGGCCGCCGGCACTTTGCAGTGCCCAAGGTTTAAGGTTAAAGATATCTTGATTGGTACTTCTTTGATCGATCACGGGCTTTGCCTCTGCAAGAAAGTTAAAGAAGAAGCACAACGTCACGGCACCCTTTAATCCCCCTTAAGTAGATAGAATACGGGGCATATTCTATCTCCTTAAATGGGACTGAAGAATAGACGCTAAGTTTCCCCCTGTATTAGCCTCAACTAACCTTAGATAGGCCTCACTCCTGGACAACCTTGTGGGTTTAGGGTTTAGGAATTAGGGGAGCTACCCCTACACCCCCAAATCTTCAACCTAGCTGTAACAGATACTTCAAAACCTGCTGGGTGCTCCTCAACTATGTGAGTTACCATCAATATGTCCTGTATTCATGTTAATGGAGTTTCAGTGTCTAGGGTTCTAAAGGAGAATCGAATGGAAAAGGAACACGGAAAATGACATGGAAACTGGGATATAAAGGATTGTAGGGATGGGTTCCTTTTAAAGAATACGTTCGGGACTACACTAGTCTACCAAAGGTACCCTTGTGTCCACTCTCAATGGTCCCTTTGTAACCCGAACATTCACAGCAGCCCATATAATCCCTAAACCGAACTCACAATGCGCTGGTACTCACCACACTCAACTGATTTCATTACTGCAAGGAACTGAAACCGAGTAAGCCAGCTTATGGGTCTATAGTAAATAAGATAGCTTCCCTACAATGGGAAATGTACCTAAATGGTAGTTTCCCTAAATAAGGGGACCCCAATATAGACCCCAATATGCTATAATCCTTATTATGGGGACCCCTAAAATGGTACTCTGAATTTTGGGAAATCCCCAAATTCCTTAACAGCAACCCTCTCAGCCCTCCGGAGGTTTACCTTAGACCCGAGGAGGCGACACTCTGCGCGAAGGCAGGGGCGGCGACATTGTATGTCCTTTTCTGTAGGGTTTAGGGTTTAGGGTTTAGGGTTTAGGGTTTAGGGTCTGGGTCGCTGCTCAGGAACTTGAGCTTGGGGCAGCTTTTTTCTCTGTATCGCAGCATCTTAGTTTCAGATCCTTGGCTGCAACCCAGTCTTTTCCATGGGTTTCCAAACCCAGGAATATTGGACTATGAAGCTGAAACAGGAGACGTTGGCCGCAAAGAAGATTTGCTAGCTACTTGCCAGTGGCGAGTAGGGAATAGAGGAATGGATCCCTACGTAAGCCGTGTACGGTTTAGGGTTTATCCCAGGCCGTATTGGAATCCAGAGGAGCGCCTGAACTATAATCCCTACTCTATCACCCCTCTGAGGCAAACATTGGGAACGAGTTGTTGCAATACCTGGTTAGATTTTGTGCTCTGCCTCGAAACGCTGTTGTCATCTATACTCGTAATCACGGAAAATGAGATGGCAACTGGTAGGATTAGAGACGAGTGGGTGGGCGTATCATGAAACACTAGCGCTCTCGCTAAAGTAGATATACAGGAATATAAAAAATGTTGCGTAGTGTGAGTCAGGACAGTCCAGACTCTGCATGATTTTCTCATGGTATGTTTTTGCGGTGCAAGTCATTTTACCAGGGTCAAACACTCCACAAAAAGTAACGGAAGAGCAGTAGCATATTACGAGCCGCAAATTATCAAAACTGTACTGCTGGGACGTACCCTACTACTCCCCGCACATAAAAACATCTGTAGCTACATGAGATTCGAAATGCCCGTCGATTTACTTTCGAAAGCCCTGAGCCGTAGCTAGGTTCATGAGGGAGGGTATATATAGGTGGTTATATACGGATAATGGACAAGAAAATGGAAACTACTATAGTAGAATAGGGTATATATTTAGGGGGTCTACACCTCCAAGCAAGCCATCACTGCCCCCTGGAAATCAAAAGCAAACGGTCCTCAAATTTCCTCAAATCAGGTATTGTCCTCAGTGGTTGTTTTGCACTCCAAGGCTAAGAAAAACAAGAGGGAACCCTTAGACCGAGACCCTTCTCTGCAATACATGGCACACGGGTCTATCACAACTTGCGCGTAGACTTAGAGAACGC